TCAAATCAAATCTACCTATTCTTCATGTAATATCTTTGTGTATGATTGAATATCTATCCCCTCCAAGACTCATGTTCAGACTTAATTGCCACTGCAACAGTACTGAGAGTAATTAGACCACAAAGGCTCCACTCTCACAGGTCAGTCAATGGCATTCTCAACATGCAGTTATATTAACCTCTTACTCTATCTTGCTATTATAACGTCAACCAAAGATGATGCTACAAAAGTCCTCAAGAAATGCCAGCTGCTCTTCATAGATTTCCCAGCCTAGAAGACTACGGACAATAAACCTACTTTTACTGTAAATTACCCATTTCCTGTCTCTTTTATTGTAGCAGCACAAAATGGTCTGCAATGGTTAGTCTGTAAAAACTGGAACTGTCATTCATTAAACATTGGGTATAAATTCTGTAAAACAGATTAAAACTTAAGTGTTAGATGGTAAAAGTTATATTAAGCAATTTTAAAAACTATCAATTTAAAATATAGAATAAACACACATTACTTATATCCAAATATGAGCTTGCTGACACAGTTAATAACAGATGTAGACAGATTTACTGCTCAAATTTCAGAATAATCATTCATCTAGCTGGAGACTAAATCCTCCGAGGCATAGACTGACTTTTTGACTTAACAGTACAGTGTAACAGACCTTTCCAAAATCCAACAGAAAATCCCCAAGGTCTCCAAAAACTAACTGAGATGACCTCGGTTTGTAGTGGGGTTTCTTTGCCTCTACATTCTTGAATTAGGGGTTGGTGCATTCTTTCACACAGGGCACTTCCTGACATTGTTAACTGCTTAGAAGCATTGGCTTTTACTCTCTGTAGCCACATACCTTTCCTTGAATGTTGTGGTACTGATGTTTTATTTTATTAGTGTTGCTGTTGTGGTGGGGGTAGAGGTGGTAGAGGTAGAGGTGATGGTGATGGTCATGGTGGTGGTGGTGGTGGTGGTGGTGGTGGTGGTGGAGATGGTGGTGGTGGTGGTGGTGGTGGTGGTGGTGGAGATAGTGGTTATGGTGGTGGTGGTGGAGGTGGTGGAGATGGTGGTGGTGGTGGTGGAGGTGGTGGTGGTGATGGTGGTTGTGGTGGTGGTGATAGTGGTTGTGGTGGTTGTGGTGGAGATGGTGGTGGTGGTGATGGTGACGGTCATGGTGGTGATGGTGGTGGTGGTGGTGGAGGTGGAGATAGTGGTTGTGGTGGTGGTGGTGGTGATGGTGGTTGTGGTGGTGGTGATAGTGGTTGTGGTGGAGGTGGTGGAGATGGTGGTGGTGGAGGTGGTGGTGGAGGTGGTGGAGATGGTGGTGGTGATGGTGGTTGTGGTGGAGGTGGTGGAGACGGTGGTGATGGTGGTGGTGGTGGAGGTGGTGGTGGTGGAGATGGTGGAGGTGGTGGTGGTGGAGATGATGGTGATGTCATGGTGGTGGTGGTGGTGGTGGTGGTGATAGAGATAGTAGTGGTGGTGGACGGGCTGATGATGGTGAGAAAGATAGTCTGCTGGTGATGCTGGAGGTGGACAGTACACAACCACTGTGCCATAGCCTCAGTCCCATGCTTTGTTTTGTTTTGTTTTGTTTTTTGATGAACATAAATATTTCCATATTTCTCCAAATTCTCCAGGAGAGAAAACATTGCCTTCTTATCTTGAGAGATAGACAAAGCCAGATGGCTAAGAATTATCTCTGTAGGGATGATCACGTAATTCAAGACTATGTAAAGGCAACCTTCTTTGAGGGCTGTACACAGTCAAGAGCTGTATACAGCCTTTTCTATTGTAATAGAGTAAATCAAGTCCAATAAGGATCTTTGCGATTTTAGGAGGTCTCTTCAGACTGCGAAACGAGGGATTTCTTCAGATTAGTGATGTCAATCTCTAGCTGTTTGATGTTCTTGTCAGTGACCCTTCAAAGGTCTGAGTAGTATAAATTCGGAGGCCAGCATCTGGATTAGAACTTCTAACAGCAGACATCATGGGTGATTCATTTTTACCTGGGATGCTGCCTGAGTTAAAGTTCCTGGGAGGCCCTCTTTCTCTCGGTTTTCTGGGGTTGGGGACAGAGCTGCCGCCTGTGACCTGCTCTATGCTCGGGCCCAGACCGGAAGTCTACCTATCGTCTTTTTAACAGCCATTCTAACAAGTATGAGGTGATACTACAATTTCATTCTGATTTGTATTTGCCTGGTTATTAGTGGTATGGGATACTTGTACTACCATTTGGCCATTTTGCATATCTTATTTTATTTTTATTAGTCATTTGAGAATTCCAATGTATTTTGATTATATTTACACTCTTCCCCTCAACTCCTTCAAGATACCCATCCAACTTTGTGTCCTTTTCTTTTTGTTAAGTCCATCAAATGTAATTTTTACTGCCTGTGTGCTCTTGGATGTCGCTGCACATATACTCTTGGACGTACAGCCATCCATTGGAGTGTTGTCAAACTCTCCATAGCCACACCCTTGGAGAAATCTGACATTTCCTCTCCCTGGAACTATAAAATTACCAGTAGCTTCCTAACTAAGGGTGGGACTTCATGCCCATGTCTTGTCTGCATGCTGGCATTTTGTCTGGCTTGAGCTTATGCAAGACTTGTACACGCTATCACAACTGCTGGGATTTTGTGTACAACTTCCCTGTTGTGTCTGGAAAACACTAAGCCACAGGTAATGACTATTAAAAATAATAATAATAATGTTACCTGGCTAGTTTTTCGAAACAGCTACAACGTGCATTAGAAGCTCATTTTTACGTACAGTTGTTGGGGTACAGCATGGCTCTTCTGTTTTGGGGTCCGCTTGCTGCTCACAGACTTCTTTATTTCCGTTTCCTATCAAGGAATTTTTAGAAGACAGGGACTTGGTCCACCATCACACTTTACTGTCAAAACTGATTGAAGTTCTTTGTTATTCTGTGACATTAACATCTCGCTACCATGTTAACTAAGCCAATGCATGATGCTCGGTCACTTCAGTCGTTCTTTTTTTTTTTTGAGCATTTTAACCCTTCCAGCCTCAGTATATTCCAAATATATCACACATAAAAAGCTAAACTAATCAGAATACCCACACTTAACTATGGAACAAATGGTCAGAAGTATAGTTAAGCCCAAACTTAAACCATTCGCAATCAAATATTTCCAAGTAAAATTACCAGTTTATTGCACAGTATTGCACAGTTAAGTTCACTAACGACTCTTCCAGAAGCTTCTCTTTCCATTGTTCTATTTATCTTTGAAAGCCGTTCCACAGAGTATCGATCTTTTCATTCCTTAGGGATTCCAAGCACAGCTCCATCGGAACAGCTGCTAGTCTCAGTCACCACAAATAACGAACCCCACCATGAAGTATCTGAAATATGTGAAGGTTAAAAAAAAATCATGAAAATGAGACCATATGTCTAAACATACCACATGTGCTTTGGCAAAGGGAACGTACCGTGTTAAGACGAATCTTTGCCAGCCTGCCAGGGAACTAGATCAAAATCAAGACAAAAAGATTCTTTTCATACAAGCTGGGTATTTCCCTTGTACTACCCTGAGGTTAGCCAAGATGAGGGAAGCCAACCTCCCCATAAGGGCCGGCAAAACCATCAATCTTGATGACAGAAAAAAAGAAGGAAAAGGGGTGGAGAGGCCTGTGTTTTGGGAACTAAACCACTTTTAGTGGTTTTAGTGGTCCAAATCCTATGTCCATAAGTGGCTGTTAATATCTCAGCATGTTAACAATATGGTTAGCATCTCTGTGCTTTCATTTTCCTGTCTGTAAAATAAAAGATGATTCCTTTCTAGATTCTTTCGAGGATGAAACATGAGAAAGTGAAAGTGGTTAGACTTTTCCTGGCATATAATCAGTTATTGTTATTATTAAGAGCAACAAAAAATAAAAACAATAAACAAAACAACAAAGCTGTACATCCAGTTCCCTCAGGAAGGCTAACAGTTTGGCTTTCCTGCTCATTTCAGATTTGCTGAAAGAAAGCACAGGGTCTCACAAGATGTATTAGTTTTGCCAGGTGGGCTCACCAACAAGGCCAGGCTGTCTGTCCAGCAGATTCATGGACGAGGATACACACCTGAAGCCCATCACCTACAAGCCTGTGTGCTCCATGGGTGGGCCATCTGCACTGATAGATTTATCTCACTGATGGGAAATAGCCAAAGAATTCCTCTTGACCATCACCCTAGGAAGAGCCGTAAACTCTGAAGGCACTGGCTTGTGTAGGCATCAGCACTATAGAATGTTCCAGCTACCTATGTTACAGGTTTTCACACTTAAGTTGTTGAATGAGCACACTGAAGTACTGTCAGAAACAAGAAAAATAATTATTTGGTTTATTTTGTCTTGTTTCATTTGAGACAGAGACTTGCTATATAGCCGAGGCTGGTTCTAAACTAGTGGGAATGGTCTTGTCTCAGCCTCCCAAATACTAAAGATTTCAGACCCAAACCACCATGCCTGCCTCAAAAACTTACTTCTAGACAACCAGAATTTGAGATATCTATGTCACCCTTCCAACCCTTAAAAATCGACTGTCTAACATTAAGTATAATGGCGTAGGTCAAAACTATTAAATTCACAACAGAATATAATTTCTAAATTGAAAAACTAAACTAATCTGAGCTTTAACTGAGGAAATAAAAACTAGTTTATATGGTCCTCAAGTTGGGAGAGAATGTAGTCTCTAGTCTTCTAAAACATCCAAGGTTTAAAAAAAAAAACATACGTAAACATAAGTAATAATGTAAGAAATGTTTCTTACAAAAGCATTGGAGGTTCCACCTTGAATCCAGGGTCTCAGATTCAACCCCAAGCCTCTGGCATAGTGGATGCCAATATATCCACAGGCTAGCTAGACACTAGGTGAAGCTTCCCAGTCTAGGGAGCTGGGGAGATGGTTCAATGATTAAAGTTCAAGTTTAACCTGGAACCTCCCCATGTTCATGTGCTTACGGACACATCTACACATTTTTATTTTTTTCATTATTATTTTATGTATTTGAATGTTTTGACTGGACGTATGGCTGTGCACCCCTTGCCGGCTTGGTGCCCGTGGATCTCCGATCCTCTGAAACTGGAATTACAGGTGTCTATGAGCTGCTATACAGGTACCGGGTGTTGAATCTGGGTCCTCAGGAAGAGCACCCAGTGTTCTTAACTGCTGAGCCATCTCACCAGCCCTTAACCTGCACTTGTTTACTGAGCACTCTGTGTTTTTGATAAAAGGTTATTTTGCTTTGCTTTCACACCTATGTCCTTTAACTTTAAAATCGGAATACCTTACTAGTATGAATTAGGAAATTGTTTATTTTATTGATTGTATCTGTCCACGAACCTACTGCTAAGAGCTAAATGTAAGACAAAATGCTCATAGATATCACTGGTATGCATCCAAAATGATTGTAGCTGCAATCCCTACATGCATTAGTTATACTTGTCTAGTACTAGCCGACATTCCCGAGAGAACAGCTTAAAAGAAGAAATAATATTTAGGTGCTTTATTACGCTACAGTGCATACATAACCACACAAGTTATAAAGAGTTGCCAGTCAGTGGCGGGGCAATGTTCTGTGCTGTTGTTTAAGTGCCTCGGGCTCTGCTGACTACATATGGGCAGCCTAATACGTTTGCAAAACAGCTTGGTACACAGTAACTGCCACATGCATTTGCTGTTCTCCACTGCCAGAAAGGCATGCCCAAAACTGAGCCTCTGCGGTGAACAATACTATTTCCTCAATCGAGACTTGAGACAGGGATAATTCACTTAATATACAAACAAACCTAAGCCAGTGAACATTTCTAGAGTCAAAATAGAGCAGTGGCTGTATGGCTCTCACTGAGGTCGCAGTGATTGCAAGAAATAAAATTACAACTCTGTGTGTGTGTGTGTGTGTGTGTGTGTGTGTGTGTGTGTGTGTGTGTG